CAGAGGCTCTTTGGTCCTAGGGCCCACATCCTGGGAGGGGGGAGAATAGGAGGGAAAAGCTGCTTTCCTTCCTCCCTTAGAGCCAGCTTTAGACTTCCTGGACCTGCTGAGGGAGCAGGGCACTGGCTCTGGGCCTGGATCCCAGGGCCCTAGTGAATTACACCAAAGGAGGGACTCAGGGAACCTGCCAACCTGGGGCTCAGGGAAGGGACAGGCCCAGAGAGAGGGTGGGGACAAAGGCTGTGGCTGATGTCAGAATATGAATTATTGGAGGTTAACCCTTTGAACCCCAGGTAACTGCCCCTATGTTGGTCCCTGTCTTTCCTGGGCCCTGAAACTAGATTATTGGAAGGCAAAAAGGAGAAAAAAGGATGTCAGGTGAGCCTTGCCTATTTGCTGTGCCCTCGTGAGTTGGAGGAGTCTTCCTCAAATCCTGGAATAACTCCTGCAATTTCTCTACTGTTCATTCTATGCTGAGGAAGGGACGGAAGCCAAGTTGATTATCTCCAGTTCCCCTAAACTCCTCAAGTCTGGTTCTGCAACCCCCCACCCCAATCCTTTTGGGGCAATACATTTCCTCCTCTCCTCTCAAAGTGATTGAAATCTCTAAAGAATATCTGTAAGTCTCTTCTTTGCTGCCCACCAGCCCTCTCCTTACCCCTCTAGGTCTTGGGGCTCCTGACCTCCCCTTAGGCTGGGAATTCAAATACCCTTTCCCAATACCCTGACTCTGTTGCCATTTTGTGGTGACTTATGGGTAACTACCTTTCCACTTGGAACTATTGTATTCCTTTTCAAAGCTTGCTTATTCATTTAATCTATAAACTTCTGAGCTGAAGAGGTTGTCCGCCCTCTTGTGACCATTATGCACCATTGCTGGAATAGCTGGGTGAAACCTTCAGGCTCAAATATAGCCTTAAAGAAGACCAGCCCTCTCATTGCACAGACAGGTTAGAGAGACAGGCCTACAGAAGGCAGAGACTTTACCAGTGTCACCCATGGTAAATCTGTGACAATGCTCAGGTTAAAGAACCCAGATCGCCCGCCTGCCTGCCTGTCCACCCACAATTCCATCACTTGGCCAGACTGTTTCCCCACCCCACCCTGTCACCACCCAAGCCCAAAGGATCTGAAAGCAATTTTCTCCCTGTTTTAATAGGTTCTTACCCCACCCTAGAGAGGCAGCTCGATATTTAGAGAAAGAGCCACAGGCTCTGAGGAAAGAGACCCTTGGACCAGGATTGGGTAAAGGGTGCATTAATATGGACCACAGATATAAGGAAGATCAATCTTGGACCAACTATTTTTCTGGGAAGGTAGGGTGAGTAGGCCCAGACATCATGGGGGCAGAATTCAACATTCCAGACCTGGACGTGAGAAGCAGGGGATAGGGGTGGGAGATGAGAGATAAAGAAATCCAGTTGGGTCCTGTGGAGATGGGGAGCTCCAAAGTCAGGGGATTACAGCTCAGTTGGACTGGCATCTGAGGGTATTGAGGGGTTGCAGAGGTGGGTGAGTGGGGCTGCCTGGGAACTCCAGGTAGCCTGGACATCCCGTCTCAATACCTTAGACTCCATTTCACTACTAGAGAGGCCCAGGAACCCTTGGCAAGCACACATTCTTGGTCCCTCCTACCTGCCTCTGGACTGACTGTTTAAGGCTTAGCTCTCCTGTTAGTTTAGACCTTTCCGGGTTATGAGGAGGACCTGTTTAGGAGCTCAAAGAAGAAAAGGGTGAAAAGGGAGAAAGATGCAGAGAGACAAAAGAGAATGGGATGAAAATGGAGGCTTGAAGATATGATCAGAGGGAGCATACTATCCTCCAAGTGGGCTGGGGACTTGTCAGGGCTCGGGGTAAAGGCAGAGATGACAGAGCTCCTGGCAGCTGCAGAAACAGTGCCTGGGAGTATAAGGGGTGGTGCTGGCTGGGATGAGTCCACCAAGGAGATGAGACCATGTGAACGGGCAAGTGTAAGAGCCTGCATTTAGGATGGGGTGGTGAACTTGCGCACTGGACTGACTGGAAGCTCAGTGGCAGCTTAGGTGAGAAATGCTTGGATCTTGCACTGGATGCAGGCTCACTCTGTGCATGGTGCCAGGCACATACTGGATGTTCAGTGATACCTGTTGAATGAATGGAGGAATGAATGTAAACCCACGAAGAGATGTGACTTATAATTTAAAAAGTGGTTAATTAGGTAGTAATAGGTAATTTAAAGTATTATTCCATTTAATTCTTAGCAACACTGTAAACAATGCATTATTAACAGATCATAAGTGAACTATGGTAGGAACCTACGTCAGTCTGACTGCAGGGGCTTCCAGGAAGTCTTTTCTGATTCCCCACTCCCCTCTCTCACAGACCTTACGCTTCTAGGAGAACAGGTTATGCTGCCCAGCAGCAGGGCCAGTGTACATATTTCCTATTGCTGCTGTGACAAACTTAACGGCTTAAAACAACACAAATGTGTTATCTTACAGTTCTGGAGGTCACAAGTCCGAAATCAATTTCATTGGGTTAAGTTAAAAGTTAAGGTGTTGGCAGGTCTCTTCTGGAGTCTCTTCTGGAGACTCTAGGGGGCAATCCATTTATTTGCCTTTTCTAGCTTCTGGAGGCCGTTTGCATTCCTTGGCTCATGGCCCCTTCCTCCATCTTCAAAGCTAGCAGCATAGTATTTCTCCTCTCTGACCTCTGCTTCCATTCTTACATCTTTCTCTAATTCTGTCTCCTCTTAGGAGGATTACTTTGTGATCAGATATCCTTGTGCTTACATTGGGCCCACTGGGGTAATCCAGGATCATCTCCCCATCTCAAGATCCCTAATTTAACCATATCTTCCAAGTCCTTTTTGCCATATAAGGTAAAATATTCTCAGATTCTGGGGATTAGGACTTGAACATCTTTGGAGGAAGGACCACTATTCAGCCTTCCACAAGCAGAGATGGAGCGTGGGCAGGAGGATGCATCCACACCCAGAAGGAGCCTCTATGCTTTGCCTAGCCTCCTTTGGCCTGGAGTGAGAGATGGTGCCAAGGGGAGCTAGCCAGGCCCAGGCCCCATGTCTGGAGAATGGCAAATGCCTCCTGCATCTTCACTGCCAAGGAGAGCTGAGAGTGAAGGTCAGACTTGGGAGAAGTTCTCAGTTTAGGGAACTTTTCAGGACTGAGACGTCCCTGGTGAACATGGTGGAGGGTTCTAACAGGCTCTATCTTCAACACTGCCTCCTCTCCACGACCATTCTGTGCTCCGCCTCAAGGCAGAAGATAATTACCAGCTAACTAGCCTGGGCTCTCTCTAGAAAGGGTAGATTAGTTGTCTCTCTTTTAAATTATTATCTTTTTATTCCTTAATAGTTAAACCATTCTCCTCAGAGCGGGGTAAACTCTCATCATCTGTTGATACTAAGTCTCTTTTTGTTTGATCTTTTTTTAATCCCTGATCCCTATTGTCATTCCTCTCCCTGACCCAGGTATACACGTTAATGTGTTCAGTATGTGTTTGGATATATATGTATCTTTGAAAATATAAATAATTATGTACTTATGTGTTTTAATATATATAAATAGTAAGCCAGCCTTTATAATGAATTGCCCCATATTACAGTAATTTAACACAATAAAGATTTATTTTTCACTTACACAGGAGCACAGGTATTCTTGGTTGTACAGCTCTCCTTCACTGCCCATTTCAGGTCCCAGGCTTCTTCCATTTTCAGGTGGTGATAGGCTGATCCTGCATCATAAAGTTCCCTGTCAACTTTTCACCAAATTGTTTTACCATCCATTAATGACCATTTTATTAATTGGTTATTTCACTAGCAATTACAAAATGATGATTTCCTAATGCTATTATTTTTTCTTTTGTTAGTTCTAATTTTGTACAGAAAAACATTTTCACATCCTCCAGGACCATCTGGTTACCCTGAAATAAAGTTCAGACCAGAATGGCAAGATAAATGCTTAAATCTCTTCCCTTATTTATCCCTTTCAAAGTAGTAAGTTGATGTCCTAGCAACTTGGTGTTTAATGATTTTGTTTTGTTTCACTTTCTCTTTAAATTATTGTTGTGGGGCTTCCCTGGTGGCGCAGTGGTTGACAGTCCGCCTGCTGATGCAGGGGACACAGGTTCGTGCCCCAGTCCGGGAAGATCCCACATGCCGCGGAGCAGCTGGGCCCGTGAACCATGGCCACTGAGCCTGCGCATCCGGAGCCTGTGCTCCGCAACGGGAGAGGCCACAACAGTGAGAGGCCCGCGTACGGAAAATAAATAAATAAATTATTGTTGTGAACTTATAGCTTTTATTTATTTAATGTCTTTTAATCATTTGTAGTTATTTTTGTTTTATATTATAAAAAATCTTGAGTGTAAACCATAGTAGAGAACATAGTATAATGAATTTCCATGCATCCATCACCCAGCTTCAGTAATTATCAACTCTGGCCAATCTTGGTTTATTTATTCCCTCAGCTACTCTCCCCCTAACCAAGATTATTTTGAAGCAAAACTAGATATGATTCCAGTTCATTTGTAATGTTTTAGTTTGTACCTCTAAAAGATAAGGAATTTTATTACCATTATGGCACCTAAAATTAGTAATTCCTCAATATAATAAAATATAACTATTCAATTTTCTGATAAATTTTTTTTAATTTAGTATCAGGATTATGCTGTCCTCTTAAAAGAATTTATAATTGTTTCCTCCTTCTTTGTCTTCTGAAAGCATCTGTGTAAGATTGGTAGCATTGTTCAGTATTTGATAGAATTCATCAGTGAAATAATACGGGCTTGGAGTTTTCCTTGTGGGGAGGTTTTTGATAACAAATTCAATTTCTGTGATACATATAGAGCTATTCCAACTTTTAATTTCATTTTGAGTTAGTTTTGGTAAGTTGTGTTTTTCAAAGAATTTGTTTCAATTAAGTTGTTGAATTTATTGGCATGAGTTTGTTCATAATACTGCCTTACTATTCTTTTTTTTTTTTTTTGTACATGGATCATCAAAAAATATGGAACGCTTCACAAATTTGTGTGTCATCCTTGTGCAGGGGCCATGCTAATCTTCTCTGTATCGTTCCCATTTTAGTATATGTGCTGCCGAAGCGAGCACCTTGCTATTCTTTTAAAAAGTATTCATTGTAAAATAAAGCACAAGTGTAGAAAACACACAAAAAAATGTAAGGCTTAATGAATTATTCTAAGGCAAACACTCCTATAACCACTGCCATGTTAAGAACTAGAACCCACCCAGAAGTCCTGTCCATGTGCCCCATCCCAATTATAATCCCCTTCCTCTGCTGATAAGCAACCATTTCCTGATTACAGTATTCACTTCTTTGTATTTTATTTTATATCTTTATCATCCAAATGGACATCCTCAGATACTATAGTCTTGTCCACTTGAAAACATTTGATGTCTTTTTATTTTATTTTATTGGAGTGTAGTTGATTTACAATGTTGTGTTAGTTTCAGGTGTACAGCAAAGTGATTCACTTATACATATACATATATTTATTCTTTTTCAGATTCTCTTCTCATATAGCTGATCACAGAATACTGAGTAGAGTTCCCTGTGCTATACAGTGGGTCTTTGTTGGTTTTCTTAGACAACCAACATAGTATGTATATGTTAATCCCAAGCTCCTGATTTACCCCTCCCCCACACGTCTCCCCTTTGGTAACCATGTTTGTTTTCGATAGCTGTAAGTCTGTTTCTGTTTTATAAATAAGTTCACTTGTGTCATTTTTTTAAAAATTAGATTCTAAACGAGTGATATCATATGATATTTGTCTTTCTCTGTCTGACTTACTTCACTTAGTACATTTGATGTCTTTTCAAGTCTCTTAATTTAAAGTCCCCCCTTCATCCCTTTCTTAATTCCTTACAATTTATTTGTTGAACAACCTGGGCCATTTGAAGTATAGAGTTTATCACAGTCTTGATTTTGCTGATTACGTACTCATAATGCAGTTCTGAATGGTCCTGTGTTCTCAATATTTCCTGCAAATTGGCAGCTGGATCCAGAGGCTGAATCAGACTCAGATTTGATCACTTCGGCAAGACTCTAAGAAGCATATAAATACAGTCTCTATGCTTACAATTTTTTTCAGGTGTTGATGTTTATTGCCGGTGGCCATTTATTCGTTGAGGATGCCATTAATTCTACAATTTTATTTATTCATTGAAATACTTTCATAAAGAGAAACATCCTCTTACCTACTATTTGGTTTCTGAGGGTACAGTTCACATAGGAAAGGCAGAATAAATGTTTCTTTTTTCACCAGTTTTGAAGATAATGAATTGAATCCCTATCATCCTCCAAAGTTGACCACTTTAAAAAATACCACTGTGAAAAAAATATATATCATTATGAACCTATGGATTTATATATATTTGATGGGTTTCAATCATCAATTAGAATTGTTGTCATTATTGAACTGCCAAGTGCCCCAACTTTGGCCAGTGGAGTCTCATTATACTGGCTCCTTGGTTCTTTTGACCTGACTCTAGTAATCTTTTTTTTTTTTTTTTGGCTGCGTTGGGTCTTCTTTGCTGCGCGTGGGCTTTTGGGCTTTCTCTAGTTGCGGTGAGCAGGGGCTACTCCTTGTTGCGGTGCATGGGCTTCTCATTGCGGTGGCTTCTCTTGTTGCGGAGCATGGGCTCCAGGCAAGCGGGCTTCAGTAGTTGTAGCGCGTGGGCTCAGTAGTTGTGGCTTGTGGGCTCTAGAGCGCAGGCTCAGTAGTTGTGGTGCACGGGCTTAGTTGCTCCACGGCATGTGGGATCTTCCCAGACCAGGGCTCGAACCCGTGTCCCCTGCATTGGCAGGCAGATTCTTAACCACTGTGCCACCAAGGAGGTCCCGACTCTAGTAATCTTTGATAGCTTTCCTTCTGTTTGGTTTGACAAAATATTCCTGGGTCATCTTCTATACTTCTTGCCCCAGACTGCAATCAACCATTTCTCTAAGAAGCCTTCAGTTTTTTAAGTAAGAAATTATATTTCAAGACCACCGCCAGGCCTTTTCAGTGGACAGAACTACAGATTCAGTGGATAGACTATATATATAGTACACACACATACACACACTAAAACAATTCAGGAGTACATAGTGATACTTTCAATTCAAATTAAAGACTCAAGAACTTTTACTTAATCTCTTCTCTGGCTCCTTTCTTCCATACTGAGAATCTTAGTTTTTAAGGACACAGGAGATGATAGAATATTCCATAATTACTCATTTCTTTTATCTCATACACAAAGCACTCTCAGAATAACAATATTAATACTACCACCAATATGATTACTGAAAACATTAAAAAAGTATTTTGCAAATGCAGTTGCCATTCTCCACCTCATTAAACAACTTTGTAGTGAATCTACACTGTCAGGGCATATAGTCATGATATGCTATACTCTTTTTTCTTCTTAGCCCCTATGTAGTTTTAGTTCTACAAGTAATCTTATAATATTCACCTCCAGTCCTTAAGTCACTCTACTCATTTTGGTTATCTGAAGTTAGTTTTCTACTAGATTCCCCAGGAAAAGCCCTTGGGAACAGTATTCTCTGAGATCTTACATGTTGATAAGTTTGTGTCCTTTATACTTATTAAGTCTTTTGCTAGGTTCACACTTTACTTTCTTGAGTCTCTTAAATATGTTACTTCATTCATAAAGTATTTGAAAAGTCTAATGATAATCTAATCTTCCCTTCTAAGTCATGTGTTGTATATTTTTTTAGATGGCCAAAGTATTTTTTTCTTTAAAGTTCAGTCATTTTATTAGAATGTCTTGGTGCTGGTCATTTGGGGACTATATTCTCAGCTTTGAAGTATGATCTTTGAATGTGTAGCTTCAAATTTTTCTTTATTTCAGGAAAATTTTCTTCAATAGTTTTTAGTGTTTGTTCTGTTCCCTTTTTTTTTTTTTCTTCTTCAGGGACTCTATCTATCTCTCTATCTATCTAACTGTCTATCTATCTATATTTTAGTCTTCTTTGCCTATTTTCAGTATTGGTCATTGTGTTTCAAATCCTTTTTACCTTTCTTCATTTCTTTTTGATTTAAAATTTTTTCTTTTCCATTTTATTTAAGGCATTATCTATTGTGTTTATTTGCTGTTGTGTACTTTCTAGTTTGGTCTTCATTTCTAAAATGATTTTTTTTCTTTCATTTCTCTTTCCTGAGACCTGTCACCTCATTTCTGAGTTTTTCTTTTTTTTTTATTATATGAAACATATATTGTTATTTATCAACATTTTTAAAAGGACATGATATAGAGCAAGTATTGTTTTCCAAACTTATTTGAGCACACAGTTATACTAATATATCACAAATAAATGGTTCTATAGGAGGAATAAATGAGAGCTCATGTGCAAGAACTAAGGAAACGTATTAAAGAGAAACGTGTTTTCAAGAGTGTGACCATCAGTAGCTTCAACTAATCATGTCTTAAACTTGACCAGTTGATTGGAATCCCCTGGCTTAGATAATAACTGAATTTTTTCTTGAGTCCAGCATGGGGAGCCCCTGAGCAGATGCCAACGTATCTTAGGAATATACAGTTTGGTGCTGAAAACAAGATACACATACATTTGAAAACAAATAAATATATCATCTGAATGGGATGGGGACTAAGTTTGGAAAGAACTTCTCAGGGAGACCTGATTTGTGCATTTGGCTAGTAACAATTGGCCAAGAGGGTAGGGACATCATAGGATATATAAAATGGCCTTGGAAGCAAGGAATGGTGGGATTAAAAAAAAGCATACTGGCTTGCTTAAAGTGGGGGCACCAAAGTAAAGACATTCTAAGATTGAAGGAAGATCAAATTTTAGATTTGATAGGAAAGGCACTAGGACCACTGTCAATTTTTTAGTATGCTGGGTGAGGCAAGAGATTCAGGTCAAAAGATTTCAACGGGGACTTTCCTGGCAGCACAGTGGTCAAGAATCCACCTGCCAATGCAGGGCACACGGATTCGAGCCCTGGTCTGGGAAGATCCCACATGCTGCGAAGCAACTAAGCCTGTGTGCTACAACTACTGAGCCTGTGCTCTAGAGCCCGCGAGCCATAACTACTGAGCCCACGTGCCACAACTACTGAAGCCCACGTGCCTAGAGCCTGTGCTCCACTACAAGAGAGGCCGCAATGAGAAGCCTGGGCACCACAACTAAGACCCAATGCAGCCAATAATAAATAAATATATTTTTTTAAAAAAAGAAGATTTGAATGTTATTTGCCTGAGATAGTACTGAGTTTTTCTTTTCTTGTTTTTTTAACATCTTTTTTTAAATTAATTAATTAATTAATTTATGGCTGAGTTGGGTCTTTGTTGCTGCGTGCAGGCTTTCTCTAGCTGCGACAAGCGGGGGCCACTCTTCATTGCAGTGCACAGGCTTCTCATTGTGGTGGCTTCTCCTGATGTGGAGCACGGGCTCTAGGCACGCGGGCTTCAGCAGTTGTGGCACATGGGCTCAGCAGTTGTGGGTCGCAGGCTCTAGAGCACAGGCTCAGTAGTTGTGGCGCATGGGTTTAGTTGTTCTGCGGCATGTGGGATCTTCCCAGACCAGGGCTCAAACCGGTGTCCCCTGCATTGGCAGGCAGACTCCCAACCACTGCACCACCAGGAAAGCCCTTTTTTTTTTTTTCTTTTTTTGGGGTAGTTGTGTCCCCTGCGTTGGCAGGCGGATTCTTAACCACTGCGCCACCAGGGAAGCCCTATAATGTTTGTTTTAACATGTCATATGCATGTTAAAGAAACTAAGAGAAGAAAAGAAATTTTTTAAGCCAGACTTTTATAATAACCAACAGTATTAGTTTCCTATGGCCACTGTAACAAATTACCAAATTTAATGATGTAAAACAACACAAATTTGTTACCAAACTTAGTGGTGTAAAACAGCACAAGCTTATTACCTTACAGTTTTGGAGGTCAGAGGTCTGAAATGGGTCTCATTAGGCTAATGTCAAGGTGCCAGAAGGGTTGCATTCTTTTCTAGAGGCTCTAGGGCAGAATCTGTTTCCTTGCATTTTCCAGCTTCTAGAGGCCATCTGCTCTCTGACACTGACTCTTCTGCCTCCTTCCTCCACTTATAAGGACATCTGTGACT